TTTTTGATCTTTTTCGTCGCGTTGTGATGACGTCACATACGCGATTTCGTCAACCGCGCTTTTGTGGAACGCACTTTTGACGGGTCACGCATCAACCTTACACAGAGGGCTTCAATTTTTCAGTTTTTAGAATTCTCAGCCAGTGCATCTAATGCTGGTTAGGAATTATGGGAAGAAACCCAACACATCTGGATGCACTCCTGAAGAAAGAAGAATCTTTAAAAAAAGTGCTGTTCCAAAAAACAATGTTCAATAGCAAAAAATAGTTAAATGTACAGCTGCCTCTGAGCAAGTTCATCTGAAATAAACACAACTGTTCTTAAAAAGATATTAATATCACAATATTGTCCTTACTTTCATGACATTTTCATATTATTAAAAATGCAACCTTTAAGAAAAATAAGTTTTAATTTAAAAGCCAGTAGCTTACTTTAACTAAAATTACCTCTAATATTGTAGTATTATATATTGATTAAAATTTTTAAAGTATTGCTTAAAAGGAAAATGTAAGGCTAACCCAAGTATAAGATAAGGTTATTAACAGGTTGAATATATTTTCAGGCTAGATTAAGTTTGTAATTACTCTATTGGTAGCTGAATATATCTGTTTTTTGATGTTATGTTATCATCAGTATAATAATTACAACAGCAGGAGAATAACTTACTTTTTAAACTGTTTGAGAAAAATCCCAATATTCATACTTCTTTTGGCATCCAAAATATTAATCTGCAAAAAGCAACAAAAGTTATCATTTCAGACAGAGCAAAGTAATCTCAATTGTTATTTTAAGTCACTATAGAGAGAACAAAATTATTCTGCATAACAAAAGCAAGGATAATTCTAAATATCATAAGAAAAGGTAAACATACTTCGAAATAATAATACAGATCTGCTGAGAAAGAAATATGGACAAAAATGTACCTGTCAACTCTCAGATTACTATAATGACAACAATTCTGAAATTTCAGTTGGTGAAAATAAGTTAGGCTGCTTACTCGTACAAGGATATACAATAATATTGTGCCAGTATTTCATTATCTGCCCTGACTGTATAATGAGGAAAATAGGTGGATGCTAGGAGTCATTTTAGTTGTTGTATCATTATGATACCCTATCCCCCCGCCCCCTGGGGCTCACCTACTTCCTACATTGTTATTTTTAATTAAAAGTCCTTCTCCTGTCTAGAATTGCAATTCATCAATAGAAATATGTTGTAGGCTACATAGCAACTGTAGAGTATATACGGTAGAAGAAACGATTGGCTACAGTAAATGTCACATGTAACTGGGAGAGCGACCATTCTTTGATAAATATTCCCCCTTCTCCTTTTCACCTGCTTTCCCCTCCTCTCTGCTTTCTGTCTTTGGGAAAGGCTTTAATGTTTGGAAAGATGGAAAGAAATAAGAGGATAACCAGCAACAAAGTGGTCTAGCTCTGTTAGGTTAGGAGAGGGACTAGGTTAGGGACAGATATTAGCAATAGCAATTAAATACTACTTCATAGTGCTTTACAACACTCTCCAAGATACAATTGCCCTCAACAATCTGGGTCTTCATTTTACTGACCTCAGAATGATAAAAGGCTCATTCACTCTACCTTGAACTGGTCAGGATCAAACTCCTGGCATGGGGCAGAATCAGCCATCAATACTGTATTCTAACTGTCAGCATTCCAAGTATCATGTAGAATTAAATCAGAGTCCAAGGCAAAACGATCCTTAAA